CCTCAAAGCCTGAAACAATGAGACTACAGCATAACCACCCTTTTGGTGTAGCTTACATGTGCATAGTTGTTGAGATTGGTAGCTGTAGTTGTTTAAATTTCTAGTGAAAGTATGTGTTCCATATTGTAGTTCACCATACCACTGAGATAAATTATACAATTTATCTTTTTCCAGTGTTTTTTCTAAACACTACTGCTCTCAGTCATCCTAATTAGTTGCATTTAGTCTCTTAAAAAACTAAACTTTAAGTTCTGTAAATGATTGAGCTTTCTTTTCGTGTTTTTCATCTGATGTTACGACAACAGGGTCATTACTCCCAGTATCAGGAATGTTATCATCTATGTTAACATTCTAAACAGGTCATTAACCTCAGAGTGTGACTGTTAAAGTCTAGCACGTTTTCAGAAGGTTTGTGTAAGGTCATTAGGAGTCTTTTTTTATTAAATACATGATTGCCATCTTGTGGATTAAAATGTCCACTGACAATAGTGGAGAAAAGTACATGAGCTTCAAGCTAATGTAGGCTCTCAAAGCGAAAATATATTTAACTACACTGATAAATTTGTATTCAAAAGCAGGTATTTTTTTGCTCATTAATGAATAGGCCTACAGAAAATATTCACTGTGTATATTACATCATCTCCTAATGTCCTTTAAGATTCATATTTTGCCCAAGCTGTGCCTTACTCAGCAGATCGCCTTTTCTTTGCAATTTCACTGGCTTAATAGCCGAGCATTAAATGTGTCATGTGTCAACTAGTACACTGTTACAGCATGTGCACATTTTCAGATTTGATCAGAGCTTTTGTTGCGTGAATACCAAAGAGAGATGGTATATTGTTGTTACCATTGGGGGTCCTGCAGCGTTGCTACCGGTGTCTGGAGCTCACTGAGTTGGAGAAGGGCAATGGCACAAAGGCATCTGGAAGGAAGGAACTGTGGTAAACATATATCTCTGCTAGTTCAAATGACCCTGACTAGGTCTGCTGCTCCTTTGGGCTTGCCCCAGATCAGCCCATGACATGGCCAGTTAAGACAAGATAACATCAAAGATTAAGGCCCTCCAGCTCTGCTAGCAAACTGCTGTTATTTTGTTTGTTTGGAAGGCTGTGTGTTGGATTTTACTGCCCTGAAGGAAAACATCATCTACCAGTTAGTGTAAAAAACATTTATGGCAAATAGCGATCTGTCTATCTAACTATACATCATGTTTTATTTTATCTAATTTTAAAACATAAATTCAAGGACATACATTATCATTAGTCTTGTTATAAAAACATCTGTTTTTAATTTAAGGTACATCTGTGACCCAAATTAGAAAATGATACTTATTGCGGTGTAGATAGTTCTGACAAAGGCCAAACATGATATGGCGCTTTAGTGTATCATGTAATCCATGTGCAGTGGCCACTGTAAATGACAAAAACCCTGGTTTGCACAACTTTTCTGTGAAAAATATAACTGGCACACTGATGAAAACTGGCAAAAAGTCACCTCATATCAGAGTGTTTATTATGACAGAAATATCTAATTGGGTGAGGAAACACGGATGCAATGCTTTATAATGTCCGACTCATAAACACATAAACATAAATAAGACTCAAAACTCATGTTTTGAGCTCTTGATGTCTGCTCTATAGGTCAGCACAGTACCTCATGAGTTTTAAGTGGCAAATATTTACTACCAGAATGATTGGAGTATTTAAGGACAGTAAAATGGACTCTCCTTGTGGGACAAGAAACAGGCAACATCTGATCTACTTTTAGGATATTAAAATATTGCTTTATATCTTCAGTTCCGGTGCTTCAAATCATTTGACATAGGCATTTTAAGTGAGTCCAGATGTATAATGTACCTGTTATGTTAAATATTTTTAGGATAGGATTGAATACCTGACAATTGAAGCTTTGTTTATTAGAGCAGTAGTTGGGTGCCTAATTTTTAGCAACTGAACTAACATACATCAGCTTTGAAAACAAGTCTCCATTGTCTTGTGAGTGCAGTTTTAAAATAGTGTAATGCAAACTCAATACAAGTTGCTTTACTCATATGCAGGAGACGCAGAGCCCAGGCTGAGGGAAGTTGTTGGCATCCACCTCAAGGCTCTTCATCTCAGTCGCTTCAGTGGCCTTAGTAAAACTGGCACGGGACGCAGTCACCCTGGGGGTAGGATAGGCTCGGCTGAGAAACTGGGAGAAAAATGAACAAATGAGATGGGACTGCCACCACTCTCAGGCTGCCTATGGGATAGCCCCCCACAGCCTGGTGAGAACAGTTTAATGATAGCAGTAGGAGAGATGGGAGAGAGGAGGAGTACATGCACCAAGTTGCATGTTTTTGCTCTGGTGTCTTGTGTCACTCTTTTCTCTTGGGGAAGGGGTGGGGGGGGGGTTCACATTCAAGTCACATGGTGGAGCTTGATCTGTTACATAAACACAGACCTCCACAGCCCCCAGTCTGCTCACATCAACTTTGTTCAGTAAATACATGTGGATAAAAACTCTTGTGATGACATTGGCGGCGGCCAAGGAGAGTTGTCGAGATGTTCACTCCTCCATGTTGCATCATTTCAACACTCGGCTATGCTGCAAACCCTCACAGCTCCCAGTGACCTCTTAAAAGGTGAAACTGTATGGGACTGAAAATTCAGTCATTCCAGTAAAATATTTCGGCGATTGACATACATTAAAAAAATCCGATAAATGTCTGAAGACCTCATACAGCAAGTGCACCACAGCAGTTTTTATGAATATTTTTCACTTATTTTGTCTTGAAGGTCGGAAAAACTTTGTTTATTCGTCAGCTGTCATGTTAGATTTTCTTGAAAGTTGTTCGTAATTCACAGATGCTACCACAATTGAAAATGCTTTCAACGCTAAATATAACTTTAACCTAATGAATATTAAACACTTTCTTTTGGCTGTCACATGATGCCAGTCCTTGTGACAAGAGCAATGTCAAGCAATGTCTAACAGGGGAATACTGTAATATTTTCCTGGCTCTGGGCAGTCCAATCAATATTTATCAACATGAACCACAGTTTCCCAAAGCCAGAATAGCCTGAATTGTCTGAGGAGACAGGAACAACAACAAAACCAGACAGTCATTGGTTTGGTTTGACTTTATGCATTTCTGCACTTCTGTTTTTGCTTGAAGTAATTTGTGCAACTTAAATATTTTAGCTCCGTTTCAAAGACAAAATTCATTTTTGGAAAAAGGAAACCAAATCTATTGTCTCATATTTCCCTTTTTGTAAAAAGAAAAAAAAAAACGGTATCCCTGACTGATATAAAAGACATGGATAGATTGTAATAAAGTAAGTAATGATAAATTAGTAAAGTAATACCTTGTTTAATTTGAGTGTGACGTAAAACCTGGTCCTTGGAAGAACCAGAAATGAAAATAAGGCCAAGTTAAAGATGGAAAACAACAGTTAAAAAGAAATCTTATCTATTTTACTTTTATCACCGCATTTAACCTAATCAATATTACACACAGAACTCTATAAAAACAGGTCTGTGAATTTAATATAATAGATAAACATCTTATATAAGATACAAAATATATAGACATACTGTAGGTATATAAACAATACCTGCAATTACAGTGAAGCAGAGTGTTAATTGTAAATCCCAACCATATAAACTCTATTTGACTTTTAGATGAATATTCACTTATGAACCGTCTTCACTGGACCATCTGTGTCTTTGGACGATGGGAAGATTTTGGATGGAGAGGAATGCACTGCAACTTAAAAACACGTGCTTATTTGTCCCTTAGGGATAGCACATGTCCAAATCCCAAATGCTCTAGTCATTCCAGCAGCATCCCCTGTCTCATTTTCCTCAGTGCTGCACCAGGGGTGCTCACTACGCCACATCTCCTCAGTCAGACTGAGAGGGGAGCCTTGAAGGCGAGGCCTCTGGAAGATGGATCCTGCAGGCCCAGATGGCTGGCTCTCAGAGCTTTCTTTACACCATAAACTACAGAATAATATCTAAATGCAAAGACTTATGAAGTGCTTGTCCTGTCTCATTTTCTACGTGTCTTGCTGCATTTGTCTTTGCTCTGGCTAAAGACAGACTAATATTCTTACAATAGACAAAGGAAATAAATATTTTTACTTTTAATTTTAAGGAACTGTTTTAAAACTGAGATCTGATTGATTGAGGCCTTACCAATGTTGTTGAACGTTATTCTTCGCTTTATAGCTGTATACAGGTAATAACTATGGGTTATTGAGGGCCTTGTGAAAGTAACATTATAATAATATGGTCACTGTGACAATGAGCAGACACATTTCATTAAAGCAAGCCAGACACTAACACGTTTATCTGTCCTCTATTAAAAGTAGTTGAGTTTAGATCCCTTCCCAAACTTGACAGCAAGGTCTGGCACATAGAATAAAGACATGGAGAAATTCCTTTCCGATTTTAATCTTGCATGAATCTCCTCCTCATCTGTACTTTGTCATGTCATTTCAGGCTTTGAAAAAATGCAATGAAGTGTGTGTATGTGTGTGTGCGTGAATGTGAGAGAGAGAGAGACAGAGAGAGAGATAGATACTTATGTCCACACACAGCTGCTCTTGCTGTTATGTGAAAAAAATCCATCACATGCCTTAAGTAACAACGTGTGCTACTGCGCTCGGCAGGCCGAGGTGAAAGCTTGAAGTATAAACATCAAGCTAGAAAAGATGTGTAGCTATAGTGCAGATTGCAACCTGTCCACTGCTCTGTTATCTGGCCATCTGCCTGGATGGAGGAACTAAATATTATGACACTCGATATGACTGAGCGTACTTGCTGGTTACATTCTAGCGGATCTGCACTGAGGCAAGGTGGCTTCTGTCTTGGTGACACTTCTTTCCTTAAACTCCCTGTCTTTGTCTCCCCAAAGTTGCTTTTTCATAACTGTCACCCACTGTAAACTGTTATGTAATTGTAAATAAGACAGATAATAGAATATAAAGGTTGCCAACCTGCATTTGTCGTGGTTGATGTGTGTGCTTGAGACACATATAGAGAGTGAGAGGAAGAGGTGTGGATGTTTTAATGACCTTTTGCATTTTTACAAATAAGTGTGAAGTGTGCCACGACTCTATACGTCACCTTTTTTTCTGAGCTACTGCTGTTGTGTACATGGTTAGAAGCATGAAGATGTTTACCTGCAGGAAGCTGAGATACATACAGTAGACAGATGGAGACATTTAGGGGGGGAGAGAGACCAAATAAGAGAAACAGAGAGAGAGAGAGACCCTCATCATCTGTGTTGCAAATGTTGCACATGAGCATTGGGGGGAGGTTGACTGTGTTGCGATTAACACGCTCCCTCAGCTGGGTGTTCATTTCAAGCTGCAGTACTATATCCTCAAGTCTGAACCCTCGGATGAGGGTCATTTGCCAGAGGAGGATTTTTTTTCTGCCTCTCTGTTTTTTATACTTCCTTCTTGGGCAGAAGGCTGGTGTAATAGAAACCAGACACAAGCCAGAATGTGAGGCATTCACAGCGGTGAGACCTCACTTCTTCACAGAGTGGGAAAACAGGATAAATAGAAAGTCTAGTCTAATAAGCTCCGCCACTGGTTCTCGTTTTTAAGACGGAAAAAGGCCAGGACATTAGGATGGAGGTGGTATTCCATGGATCAGACTGTGCAGGGGATATCTAGAGAGGGCAGAGGAGACCTTCAGGATGGGAAATGCATGTGCAACTTTTCCAGGTGGGTTGTTTCATTTACTGACTTTCCGCTAAAGAAACTGTCTGTTCAACTATCCTGACACATGATTGTAGATGCACGTTGTGTTACAGTGAAATTGTGAGGTCCTGTGTCTGAATAAACCCTGTGGAACATATAATTTCATGCCATTGCAGTCTTTCAAATATGAATATTCTGCTATAAAGGTAAAGCAATTGAACCAATGCTATAAGAAGCTATAGTTATATTTATATCCAACAACATGATGCATGTTTAATAATGTCAAAATTTAGGCCTGCACTTGCATTTATGATGAAATACACAGTTCTATAATTGGTCAACTAAAATGTTGTTCCTCTAATTTACCCTTGAAGTATCCATTTGTAGTATACTTCTATTTAAAATTGGCTCCATTTTGTGGAATTTAAAAATACCAAGAGAATGTATTTAATGCATTTAAACATGTGTGACATTAATAACTTTGTAGTTAAAATAAGGTCAGCTATAGGTCAGCTGGAAACATTTCTACCTGCATGTGGCACTATTTTAAAAAATAGTATAAAGGAAAAATGTCTTGGAGTACGTTGTTTTGTGTGATTTCTCAGCAGACACATATTAAGCAAAACCTTATGAATCTAAGATTCACTTAGTCTAAAGTAGACATGTACATGTTTTAAAGGCAAGTCCCACTTAGAATTTCAAGGGCAGACCTGCTTAAAATGGCAGCAGCAAAAATTAAAGACAAACAAGGCAGCACAATCAACATAACACGCTGTAAAACACATCAACAACAGGCGGATATCCCATAACACTTAAATGTTAAGGTATAATGTTGACGCTATGATACACAACAGATTCATTCAAACTTCAGTGTAAATCCTCAGTGTAGCGGCCCTCCTGTCATGCCATCCCGGAGCAAACATGAGTTGCCCACCATAGGTGCCATCTGTCCCCTCCCCAGCGTCAACAGTGCTGGATCTGGAGGGGAGGCCTTGTGGCTGAGCAACAAGCCTCTCCTGTTCACTCAGATGGCAGGGGAGATGGCACATCCCACACCAGGGAACACAGTGCCGCAGTCATGAGATCAACATGAACTCTGCAGCTCTGCCCCATGAATGGGTCAGGAGCACTACCCTGTCTCCACATTGAAGCTTCATTCACCTCACAGAGTCAGTAGTGACTCTGACTGTGAAGACAATATGACACCGAGGTTTCACGTCATCTGTTTGTGTGTGTGTGTCTGCATGTCCCTTAGCATGACGTGTTGAAACAGTTGAAACATAGAGTACAGTATGTTTCTGAAGTGGCACTATGGGCTTTTCATACATTCAGAGCTGTGTCAGTTTCAATTTGTGTTTGTAGTCTGTCACGCTCTTGTACTGTTCTTGGGTCAAAGCTATAATCAAAATGATTGCTGGTGCTGGTGAGTTTGTGTGTGTCGGAAGTGTTTTCCTCTTTTTGTTTTAATCTTGCCTTTGCTATTTTTACCATTGCACAAACCATTTCAATATGTTAGAATGGAATATAAGAAATACTACACGGTGCGTGTTTATGTAGGGTGACTGAATGACATCAAGCTACGTAATGACATCAATCAACACAAGCCATTGTCTTGTGTTTGGCTGTGCAATCAATTGAAAATGAAGGTCTCCTCTAAATGAAGAAGTCCTACTGTGCAGATTACAGTAAGATTTAGAGCTGATTAAAACTAAGAGCTGCAAACAAAAAAAGCATCCTTACAGGGTTTTCTGTATCATTCAATTGAACCCAAGAATTACAGAATAACAGTGAAAAATGTCATTGTTACCCTTTGGAAAAGCATTTCAAATAGGTCCACACAGGATTAGAGCTGAAATGGTTCGTGATTCATCAATTTGTTGATTGAGAGAAAATAAATTAGCAAGTATTTTGATATTCAATTAATAATTTATGTCATTTTTTGAGCAAAAACGCCAAGAATCATCCAGTTTCATCTTCTCAAATGTGATTATCTTCTGATCTTATTAGTCTTCTATGATAGTTAATTGAATATCTTTAGGTTTTTGGAGTGGTAGTCAAACAAAATAAGATATTTGATATGTTAAGAGAAGACTTAGGCTCTAGGACACCTTACAGATGATGTTTGGTAGATTAATCAATAATGAATGTAATCGTTAGTTGCAGCCCTAGTCTGGATTTGCCACAGGTATTTGATACAAGGAATGGAACTGTAAGAATATACAGTTACAACATAGTACTACAAAGTAATATTCACTGTGAATCCCTTTATGAATTCTTTATTCTGTCTTTACAGATTCTAGTTGAAAAGCTTGTTAGAGCAACATGAGCTGGAGCTTTCTCACTCGTCTCCTGGAAGAGATCCACAACCACTCCACGTTCGTGGGGAAAGTGTGGCTGACAGTGCTCATCATCTTTCGCATTGTGCTCACAGCGGTTGGAGGCGAGTCCATCTATTCGGACGAGCAGACCAAGTTCACCTGCAACACCAAGCAGCCAGGTTGTGACAATGTATGCTACGATGCCTTTGCCCCTCTCTCGCATGTCCGCTTCTGGGTCTTCCAGATTATCATGATCTCCACTCCTTCTATTATGTACTTGGGTTACGCCATCCATAAGATAGCCCGAAGTTCAGACGAGGAGCGCCGGAAGCACCACAGGCTCCGCAAAAAGCCTCCTTCTCACACACACAGATGGAGAGAGAGCCACCATCTGGAGGATGTCTTAGAGGAGAATGAAGATGACGATGCAGAGCCCATGATCTATGAGGATACATTGGAAGTCCAGGAGGCAAAGCCTGAACCAGTGAGCAGCACTAGCAAAGGCCCACCAAAACATGATGGCCGCCGAAGAATTATGGAAGAAGGCCTGATGAGAATCTATGTCCTTCAGCTCATGTCACGAGCTATTTTTGAAATCGCTTTCCTTGCAGGACAGTACCTCCTATATGGTTTTCGAGTTAGTCCTTCATATGTGTGCAACAGGGTCCCCTGTCCACACAGAGTGGACTGTTTCATCTCCAGGCCCACAGAGAAAACAATCTTCCTCCTCATCATGTATGTGGTAAGCTGTCTTTGTCTAGTGCTAAATGTGTGTGAGATGCTGCACTTGGGAATTGGCACCTTTCGGGACACGCTTCGCATGAAGAGGAACCAGGGCCGACGGACGTCATATGGATACCCGTTTTCTCGCAACATCCCATCCTCCCCACCGGGGTACAACCTTGTGATGAAGACAGACAAACCTAGCAGGATCCCCAACAGCCTCATCACCCATGAGCAGAACGTGGCCAATGTGGCCCAGGAGCAGCAGTGCACCAGCCCAGATGAGAACATCCCTTCTGATTTGGCAAGCCTACACCGGCACCTACGGGTCGCTCAAGAACAGCTTGATATGGCCTTTCAAACATATCAGACCAAAAACAACCAGCAAACCTCCAGAACCAGTAGTCCTGTATCTGGGGGCACCATGGCAGAGCAAAATCGAGTCAACACAGTCCAGGAGAAACAAGGAGCAAGGCCGAAATCAGCCACGGACAAGGCTGCAACCATTGTGAAAAATGGAAAGACGTCTGTCTGGATCTAGAGATAAATCAAATTTAGTAAATTAATATTAAAAACTCTTTAGACTCCGGAACTGCACTGTGACACAGCTGGAGGATGTGTGTGTGTGAGAGATGCGACCTTGGACAATAACAACTGAAAATTTCAATCACACAAGGAATTCAGTACATAGTTTTAGGGAGTAAAAAAAAAACCACACGTGAAGAAATGATCAAATCCAGTATCATAAATCTTCTTTGCTTCTGTGGTGTCTTTTTGTCCTTGCCACAGCTTTTGGACATGGTTAACATGCGCTTATTTAGTTAAACATCTCTAATTCCAGCTAAAATGTCAAAGTATAAACAGACTGCTTTGAGCTATTTATCTGATCTACCCTTGACTGCCAATGAACTGGATTAATTTGAAGAAATCTAACTTTCAGAAGTGTATGATTATACCAAATTTCAATCCAAATTTGAAAATGCAGTGAAAAGAAAACACTGTACAAATGCACAATGACTCATTTCTGAAGAACGATGATTGTTGATGGAAAGATGCATGTTTGATATTGGGGGAAGTATTTTTGGATGTAGTGTGGATGAGAAGAAAATTAAATGTGAAATTTTTTGATAAAGGTAATGAAACAAGGCTGTGTCACTGTAGGCTATTTTGGTAAACATCAGCTTAGCGTGATGATCTCTTCAGTTGTTGCGTGCAAAGCATTTATCTATTCTATATTTTCCAAAGCCTTGCAGTGTCACATTTGATGGGATAGAAGCAAGTGAATAGAAAATCTGATTATTTTCTTTACTAAATACTGATTTTCTGCAATCTGAAGCAGATGATGCATGCTTTACATCTGGGAACATAGAGTATACACATAGGCTACAGTAGAAACCCCATCCTTAGCTATATAATCTTATGTCTAGGCATGTTAAGTTTTTCATTCATGTCATCAGAGCAGTATGTTTTCTAAAATATTTAATCCTGCCTTCACTGTTGTCATACTTCAAAGTGCCTCAAACTTTTAAAGACTGTTCTAGTATTTTATTCATGAAGAAATAAACTGATTTGAAACCTCTGATTTCTTGCTTAGTAATAGCCATCTGCATTTATGCTTTATCATGCTTGTTTTGGAAACTGCAAAATGAAACATCCAATTAAAGGTAGAAGCTTGCGATAAAGTTTCATTGTTAACAACAAGACAAGTATGTTGTTATAGCAAGGAAGTGTCATATTTGTAACAAGAAAAAGAAGATATTAGGCTATGGCATTAACAATTGGTCAAATTGTAAATGGCTCATTTATACAAACTGATTAAATGTTATTTCATGCTGAGAATATTCTGTTAGTGACCACAGTAGATGTGTCATTAGTGTATATGCTCTAGGAAGAATTTTGAAATACATGAGGCAGTAAACCTGTAATGAGAAGAATCACACTTACAGTAGGAGGAGCATATTATTTTTTACAACCCAAGAAATCCCACTGCATTTTATAATCTTAAATATGGGAAAATATCCTAAAAAGGGGAAAGCAACTCTTTTCCAGAATCGACTGCAGCAATAAGAAAATAATTTTTTTTTAACTTACTGTAATTATTAAAACAAGGGGTGTATGTGTCAAAAGACTGATTTGTGGACTTTTCAGTCACTTATTGGATAAGTAGCAGCAGCTGTGGACTGCTACTTAGAACAACCTACAGTACATTGGAATGGCTCATTGTATACAACAGCCCCATCTGAAAAATGATCACTAAATTATATTGTCTGTATAGTCCACAAAATTTCCACTATCTACTTGCCAATGTAGTGGAGGTTTCTTTGTTTACAGCAAGTGGCACTCCACACCTGGTACAATCAATAAATCGTTAACAGAGAGAACAATGGCTGTTTGTCCTTAGAGAAAGAAATGTTAAATTACAATTAGCTTGTTTTTTTAAGAATAAAAGTATTGAAATATTTAGTGTTTGGAGAGTTTCTTATCTAGTGGATTTGCATCCCTGGAAGAAACCATTTGGTGTGCCTTCACAGCCCTTTATTGCCTATTTCCCAACAGTTCTGCATAACTCTTTTGGTAATGAGTTACACATTTTGTTTCGTTACTACAGATGTGTGTGTCAGTTTTACATAGATGTGATCTAGCATTTGAGGTTGGATGTGGCTAGGGATGGGGATCGAGACCCGGTTCCAAAAGGATCCGGTTCCAAAATTTCTCAAAACCCGAAAATCAATAAGGTTCGAACTTATCGATACTGCTTTCGAGACTTGCGGTTCCTATGATGTAACGTTATGTCTCAAGCGTCAAATGTGATTTAATTTGAAACGCAATGGATAAGTATGAGAGGCCGATTAGGGTGAAAACATTAAAAAACAGACACACGCACACTGAAAACTGTCACACACGCACTGACAATGTGCGCATATACACTGAAATACAGGGGTATCTGAGTGTGTGTGTGTAAAATTATTTTAGTGCGCCCGGAAGCTGTTGTAGTGTAACAAGAAGCCTTAGATTCCTGTCCTAACTTTCAAAATAAAAGCATAGCTAACATGATGATACATGGATTTCAGTGCGAGTGCCTTGTTCAGAGAGATTGTTTATCTAAGCAATTATATGAACAGTTAATAATTTATTATATTTATATATTTAGTTCAGCATCCCTAAACCTACAGGGAGGGATATTTATTGTATGTCACATTTAATTTTTGCTCCTCACCTTCAGATATTTTATAAACTTCATCTCTGTCTTCTTATTTACGTGAAACCTACAACACTTCACTTTATGATCTACAATATGCAATGATTTGCTGAGCTTGTTATACACATTCTACATGTATTTTGACCATGGATATATAGCTAGCTGCATCAGTGACTTCCTGTTACAATGAAACAGGCACTGAAATGACTTCACTGAAACACACTTAGATACACACACAGACAAGTAGCCTGTATCCTACTCTGTGTGAAGTTTGTGTGGTGTGAATATTTTCAGTGTGTATGTGTACTTTGTCAATGTGGATGTACACATATTTCACTGTGTGTGCCCTTTTTAATGTGTGTGCGCACATTTTCAGTGTGTCTGTGCCTGGTTTCAGTGCATGTGCTTGGTGTGTTGTTGGTGCATGTATGATCATTTTCAGTGTGTATGTGCACATTGTCAATGTGAATGTGCCAGTATTTCCGTGTTTTCAGTGTATGTGCGCATATTGTCAGTGCGTGTGTGACAGTTTTCAGTGCGTGTGCGTCTGTTTTTCAGTGTTTTCACCCTAATCGGCCTCTCATAGATAAGAAAATCATCAGGCTGCAGTCTCTGCCTGCTCTCTGTCGGCTCCTACACACACACACACACCGGCAGCAGCAGAGCAAGACGCTGCGCCGTCGCGGTGGAATAACGTTACAGTGAGGGTTAAAGTGCAATTTATACTTCTGCGTCAAATCGACGGCATAGGTGACGGCATAGGCCTAACGTGCACCTCCTCAAAAATGTAACTACACGTCGAGTTGACGCGGACCGTAAGCTCTGTGATTGGTCGGCCGGGTAGCCTTGCAATGCCTCCGAGCCGTCTAGACGTACCCCGCTCTTTAAAGTAACATTTACTAGCGGACAAAACAGCAGCTGTAACACAGTGAATCAATATATTTGACTGTCGCAACCCGAGCGAAATGATTCGTTTCACTTTCAGAATGTGATCCATTCGGTCGGTAACATTTGGAAAGGCTACACTAGCTGCACGTTTATAATTATACCCCCATTTACATTAGCGGAGCGCTAAACCGGAAGTTAGCCTGCTCGGCCTGCCTGCAAAAGTCCACACAGTGGACGCTGTAGCGCTACTGCCGACTAGCGTTTTGGGGTGTAATTGCAGAATGACGGACACACCTACGCACAAGTATAAATGCATGGCTACGTAGACCCTACGCAGGGGTATAAATGGGTCTTAAGTTAGCTCCAAACTACTGTAATGTTAGTGGATGACAGCTACACTCGTTTCTGTAAGTACATGCAATAAAACCTTCGCAAGTAAAAAGACAATACTTTATCAATACACCTGTCTCTAAGGTAACGTTAAACATGTAGAAATGGTTAATTAAATCATCTCTGTCCCCAGTATCTCATCCTATACGTTTTATACAAGCACAGCTAACGCTAGCTTGGCATCAGCCAAATGTGAAAAACAAGCTAAATAGAAAGCTGTCTGTCTGGAGCACAGACTGGTCTTTGTAGTCTTAAAAACTGATACAGACTGATGTTATTCTTTCTAAACGTCACTCACTACTTGTGATGTCAGATAAAGTTATTGAGTTACTTTGCTGTTGTCTAGAAACAACATTGAGCTGTATTTAAAATATTAAATTAAAAACAACCAGGCAGTTAATATGTATACTTCAATATATGTTTATTTATCGCAAGTGATATGTCATCTCAATATATAACGTTATGGCACATTGAATATTTTCCTCATATCGTGCAGGCCTACTTCATGCCCGTTGGTCTGGTCTTACCAAATAACCATCACTAAATAATAGTAAAGTATCGATTGTGGTATTGATAAAGAATCGGATCATTAAGCAGTCTCAATAAGGGTATCAATATCAATAAAAATTAACGATCCCCATCCCTAGATTTGGCCTTTAACTTATCCAAGAAGTCAATACAACAGTTATCCTATCACTTTTGTCACTGCTTACTTAAACTTCTTGAATATAATTTTTTTGTAAAAAACAAAACAAAAAAACTAATGATAGAAGTTGTATACACACAGTAACTCAAGATTGATAAAAAAGGATGCTATCTCTAAAGCTATTTATTTATTCTGTATAAATCTATGCATTTTAAAATGCATCTTAGTGCATACATTTATGCATGTGTTATATACATAAAACTAGGCTGTGGATTAACATATTAATTTATGTTAAGTTTGACTACTTCTCTTGAAGTTTATGGGGCCCCTTTTTCTGGTTAACATATGAATAATTCTTGTTATAATGACATCAGTTAACAACATATCTTGTACATATCTTAAAACAAGAAACAAATGAAACGTTTCTTGTCAAAACTCTGGGCTATTTTAAGTAAAGTTTAACTGGTGCCTTGTTATGCTGTAAGGAGGAAAGTGCTGATATATAATAATGTTGCTCTCTTCCATAAGAAGGCCTACCTATTATTTTTCAGTGGGGGCTAACATGTGGATTATAACAGAGACGTTTTATAAACAGGCTTTTACATTACGCTGTAGGCTTCCACATTTCTCCAACTTCTATCGCCGAAATCTTTGATCAGGACATAAGTCTCACATTAAGCAAATTTCAAGGACCGCCATTTTTCACCTACGTAATATTGCGAAAATCAGGAATATCCTGTCTAAAAATTATGCAGAAAAACTAGTCCATGCATTTGTTACTTCTAGGCTGGATTACTGCAATTCCTTATTATCAGGCTGCTCGAAAAAGTCCATTAAGACTCTTGAGCTGATCCAGAATGCTGCAGCACGTGTTCTGACAGGAACCAGGAAAAGAGATCACATTTCTCCTGTTTTAGCTTCTCTGCATTGGCTTCCAGTAAAATCCAGAATAGAATTTAAAATCATTCTTCTTACCTACAAAGCTCTTAATGGTCAGGCACCATCTTATCTTAAAGAAACTCATAGTACCTTACTACCCCACCAGAGCACTGCGCTCCCAGAATGCAGGGTTACTTGTGAGTCTCCAAAAGTAGAATGGGAGCCAGAGCGTTCAGCTATCAAGCTCCTCTCCTGTGGAACCAGGTTCCAGTTTGGGTTCAGGAGGCAGACACTATCTCCACATTTAAGAATAGGCTTAAGACTTTCCTCTTTGATAAAGCTTATAGTTAGGGCTGGCTCAGGTGAGTCCTGAACCATCCCTTAGTTATGCTCACCCCATTAATGCATGTTACTAACTCAACTTCTCCCCTTTCCGGTAGTCTTGTGCTTTCTCGTCCCTCTCCTCTCTCCCTCCTATCACTTCCTGCAGGTTTTTCTGGCTCTGGAGCTGTGGAGTCTGGATCTGTGGTTGCGAGTCACCTGCTGCCCCCGTGTTCCTGCTCGACACCCTCTGCTGCAA